TTAGTAGTAGTTAGTAGTAGGTAGTAGTAGGTAGTAGTAGGTAGTAGTAGGTAGTAGTATAGTAGTAGTAGTAGTAGTAGTAGTAGTAGTAGTAGTAGTAGTAGTAGTAGTAGTAGTAGTGGTAATCGTAGTAGTAGTGGGAGCAGCAGCAGCAGCGACAGCAATAGCAATAGCAGTACAGGCCCAAGCCCCCCCAGCTGACACCTTCGTAGCACCCTGGCTCGCAGCGGCGTCGGGCACCGGCAGGGCGAGCCTCTTCAAAGGCGTGGGGTGCCCTTCGATACGGAGAAGGGTGCGATTTTCCTGGGTTCCCCGATGCTCCCAAAGCCTAGCTCTACCAAGCTTAGCAATTGACTCTTGAAGTTTTGGAATGTAGGGGTCGGAAAAATTACTACTAGTATTCCCTCATGGTCTCTCTCTAGTTATACTATAAAAACCCCCCAAAACCCTATTCTAGTCATGAAGGCCCCTATACTACTTTCCCAAACCGTCTGCAAGCCCCGAGCATGAAGCTGCCTCCTCCACGTCTGCGGGGCCAGCAGCCGATCCCATCCGGAACATGTCGGAGGAAGCGTGCATGCTCTCGAGGTTTTACGATGCTGCGCGCCCCTTTAGCTGCAACCGTGAGAACAGTAGTAAAGCTGTACCGGAATGTGAACGGTGGCTCTGACAATGGCTCAAAAGGGAGACCCCAAGTACTTATAGTTCACAGCTGCGCTTTCAACAAATTCTAAATTCAAACGGAGAAATATCTGACAGCCACGGGCCGGAGGCCAAGCGTCCCCACCAGCTCAAAGCAACTCAGACTCATGTTATCACTGCAGCAGCTGTGCTCTGAAGCTTCACTCCCCCTGAACACCAACACCTACCCACAGGAAAGGTCCCGCCCCTCAACCCTTAGTGGCTTAGGGGGTAGGGAAGCCCTAAACGCCAAAAAACCCAAGAACACCTCACGCCCTCAACCCCAGCTAGCTAACATCCTGAAACATCCTGAAACCCAAACCTCAAACCCCAAACCCCAAACCCAACCGAACCTGAAGAAGCGAGCCCCCCGCTCCACGCAGCAGCCCGGCCAGGAGTACCGGCCTAGGGAGCCGTCGCCTAGAAAGTCCTACAGAAGCCAGGGTTTTGGTTTAGGGTTTAGGGTTTAGGGTTCAGGGTCTAGGGGAATTTTCCTTCGGAAGCAGCCTTTTTCCGGAATCCTGTCGGTGAAGCTCAATTTGGCCGGCCGAGTCCCGAAACCATCCAAAAACACCCTGAACCCTCAACGCAAAGCCCCTGAACTTGCCCTGAACCCTAAACCCTGAAAGCCCCCTCAACGCCCGAAACCTGAAATTCCCCACAAAAAACTTCCTCACTTCATGTAACTTCAGAGTCCCAGCGGATGTTGGGTTCTTGCGCTTGGGCTTCGTGGCTTCGGAATTGGGGGGCTTCTTTCTTTGGTGCCTTGTTGCGTCTTGCGCCGCCCGACCCTTTCGCAAAGGAGGGACTGTCATGACTGAGGTTCTGAAGTTTCATTCCATGCGAATGCGTTCCCATCTGGAAAATGCCATCAACACATCACCATCAGACATGCTGCCCAAGCTCAGTCTCGCACTCGCCGCCGGCTGCGTCTCCCTCAGCCTTGAGCTTGCGCCCAGACAGATGGTACCTGCGGTTGTGTTTTTGTAGAATTTGCATCGCTTGTCACCAAGTGTAGAGCCTTTTCAAGTGTCACCTCGCTGTTGCGGTGCAAGGTGCAAACGCACAGGGTGCACGACTTCAGCACCCACATCCCAGAAAAACGTGCCGAAGTGGAGGTGCTCCTGATCACCACTCTGTGCCGCTGAATCATGACGGCAGTTTTTGTGACCCATATCCTTGCACACAGGGTTTCAACTTCTCTGCAAGACTCTAATCCCCTCCCCCTAATCTTAAACGCCCTCTACCCCCCAATAGTAAATGCCCCCATTATGGTTACATTATAGTATATGGGGCGTATTACTTTTACGGGGAGGGGATTATCTGGCCGACTTCACTCTCACGCCTCCTCGAGGTCGTCCGCATTCAGGAGTCGAGGCCACATCTGTTCCACTCCAAACCTGGGTTCTCGGGCTCGGAAGCTGGGAGAACAACTTTCAGCCCGGAAAAGTCCTCAAACCAACACCCTGTGAGTTCAGCCCAGAACCGTCGCTCCGGATTTTGTAGGACATCCATCTGGGCTGCGGGAAGGACGACCTGGACAGGCAGCCGTGCACGCGATCCGGCTGAGAATTTGCCACGGCCTGGCGATAGTGCTCGGCGCGACAGATGTGCGGCTTGTCATACCTCGTGTCTGCACACGGTCTGTTAACCAAGGAGAACTGCATGGGCCTAAGCCATAGAGCAACCTGCTTGCTAAGTGGAGGATAATTGGCCTTCTCTTGTAAGCCCCAACGATTATGGTGTCCATCACGCAAATATGTACATCAATACATATATATATATATATATACATAATCACACATATATATATATACACGAATATCTAAATATACATATATAGATGGATAGATAGATAGATAGATAGAAAGCTAGATAGATAGGTAGATAGATAGGTAGATAGATAGAGGGGTTTCCCCAAACACGGGTACCCAAATTTGCGGACCCGAAATTACAACATTCAACAAAACCTTGCCGCCTGGTTGGTTCCCCTCAGACCTAAACCCTACACCGCTCTGAGTCCGGAACCAGAACGCAAAGCAAGGCCCCCAGACGCCACCTAGTTGTCCGTCTCTACTTTGCTGGGTTTTCGTTGTGGGCTTTACACCTCTAAAATCCCTCAAGCCACCCTAAATCCTAAATCCTAAATCCTAAACCCTGAGGCAGCAGCCAAAGCAGCTGCGGCACCAATGACAGGCCAGCGACGCATCGCGCAGGTGGGAGCTTGAGGCCGTACCTGTAAGTAGGGTTTTAGGGTTTAGAGTTTAAGGCTTGAGGGTTTGAGGGTTTAGGATTTAGGGTTTGGGTGTTTGGGGTTTCGGAAGAAGGTCCTACTCCAGCAAACTGGGCCATACCCTGTGACTAGGGGATATAACCTGCAAGTTTTGCAGGTTTGGGGGCGCGGGAATACTGAAGCCTCCTAGCACGAAACATGGCCTTTTTGAGGGATGCGATTCGTACATTCGTACTCTAGGAGGTGGGGATTACGCATCATCTACAAGGGGCTTAAGACCGGATTCCACAGCTCGCAGGGATTGAAGCTGGCCAAGCGCCCTTGCTCAGACGAAGCCCCCCCTGTTGTGCCCCAAACCCGAAACGGACGGAGCCTCAACTGCATCCGCCGGGCCTCAGGAGTTCGGAGCATGGCGAGTATAGGCAGGACTTGCCTAAACCCCGAAAACTTAGGTGCAACTCAATGCTCAGAGTTCCTGCCTCTTCCTGGCTAGTCGTGCCACTGATGCTCGGCCCCAGGCATATCCTAGAGTTGTCAGGGATTGCATGCCAATGTACTTGATGGCTGGATCCGTATCCATAGCGGCGACCTCAAGGTCGGGACTATTCTGAGACCCTGCAAAGCTTCAGCCGTGCTGAGTTCTTCACAGCTTGAGCGATCTCCACCTCCCGGACGAAGATCCAGTCATGCTGTACCTGCAATAGCATAGCCGTTGCACAGCAAGAAGAAGAACAAATAACCACAAGAACAAGAATAGCCACTAAACATAGCAGTACCAATGGGAACGACCATAATACTAACAATGACAGTCAGCAGTAACACTTACAATAGCAATTGCGATAGCCATTGCAATAGCAGTTGCAGCAACAAAACTACTAACAGCCGCAATTGCAATTGCAATTGCAATTGCAATGACAATGCGCAAAAGGCAATGCAAATACATTGTTCTTGTTCTCATCATGTCCTTACGTTGTTACTTTGTCTTTGTACTGAAAGAGGTACTCAAGAAACGGGCACCCAAAATTTCTAGGAAATTTCTTAAGCGGTGATGTTTGTCCCCCCTGAAGCGATGCACCACAAGCACGTACTCGGTCTTCACCTCTGCCAGCCCTGCAGCCAGGGCCAAGCCGTACCTCAATCATCGTTACGAGCTATATAGGCTCTAATGATAGTACGGGCTATAGGGTTGTGTTGGGGCTAGCAGTTATAGGCTCTAACTCTGCACAGAAACAGCGGGAGAGACAGAGTTCGACTCGACCCAGCTTGCTGGCAGGCGCACCCATGGCAGCTCTCCAGCCTGTGCACTGATTAGGCTTCCAGGAGCTTAGGGTTTAAGGGTTTAAGGTTTATAGGGTTTAGGCTTTCAGGAGCTTAGGAGTTTGTAGGGGCTTGGGCTTGGGGCCGCCCTACAACCACGCAATGGCGAAAGCGCCCACGCGTGGAGAGGAACTGCACCCTCCGCACACAAGAGGTCCCTCAAGGCCGGCCCGCGTTCGCGCCTGGCCTCGAAGTGGCCTGGCCTTTTGCACTCCTCTTATTCCTCCATTCCTCTCCGGTACGTCCCGCTTCCTCTCTTTCAACTCGGGCTCTTTCACTCTTTAGGGTTTAGGGTTTAGGGGTTTAGGGCTCCTGTTTCAGATGTTGTATAATTCACCTCAACGCCCGATACCTTTTGCTTGCAGGTGCAGCGTGCTTCAGCGTAGAATAATGAATGAGGCCCGCAATGGAACAACTACTGTACTGTATTCCCTGTGACAAGGTCCGAGACTTTTCCAAGCCTGAGGATTCTGCAGGGTCCCAGATCGCCCCGCAAACACAACTCCTGGCATCACGAGGCTTGGGACAAGGAGGGATGGAAGTGCTCAGCAGAGGTGACTCTGGCAGCGACGCACACCCGACATGCTCTCCTACGCCTGGCAAATCGTATGAATAAGACGAGGGGATGCTCGGAGTCAGACGTGGGGAGTGCCGCGCAGCAACTCTGAGTAGTGCCGTGCTGAGCTGTCGAACCTTTGGAGCGCGTGAGCATAAACATAAACCCTTCACCGTAGAACCCTAAACCCTAGTTTAGGTTTTCTGTAGGGCGCAGCACTGAGACTTGCTGGTCCTCGGCAGCGGCCAGGAAGCCCTCGTAGGCCTGGACGTCGAAAGTAGCTTACCATATATAAGGGGGGTCTTTCTCTGAAACTGTGAGCTGGAGTATTTCTTGGCACAACAGACCAGAAGCCGGGTGGGGGCCTCCTTCTCGCAGAGCTGCTTTCTTCCATCCGGAGGCTTGAACCCATCGCACACCTGCGAGGCGCGGAACTGAGGTCGCAGCGTAGGTCGAGGCTCTCAGTTTGAAAGCTGAGATTCCGGGCCAGCAGTCTTGGACACGTCTCCAGCTGAAGCAGATTATTCTGAAAGGACGCGAAGAGAGTCCTGGAAGAGCGGTGCAGGGTTTGGGGTCAAGGATTTTTAGGCTTGAGGTTTCGCGCTGCGCTGGAGCTCTGCGGGCGTCGCCCTAATGCTTCGAGCAATCGTCCTCAACAGCACCGGCGATGGGTGAGATGGAATCGGAGAGGTCGTCACCAGGATGGTGAGCCGATCGTTCTGACCGGGTACACCTGTCGCTCTTAAGGGCATGATCCTGAGGTATTCTTGAGAAAAGGCAGGTCCGTCAACGTACTGTATACATGGAAACCTTATTCTTGAGTTGCTACATATCCATACATGTATATATACATACGCTACAGGAACTGAAGCGAAGCTGCTCGACAGCAACCCAAGATGTTGCAACTACTAGCAGGCACAATGATGTATCCGATGCAACTACCCCAAACCCGAAACCCTAAATTCTAAACTGGCGAAAGCACCGCTGGCCATATACATGGGATTACATGGGTGCTCGAGCCTCCCGGACAAAACCCCGCCCTTGCGCGTGGCGAATCTACGGTGTCTGGGAGGTAAAAGCGTCCTGGGACAACCCCTGCGGGGACAAACCTCTGGAGACCTGAGGCGCGTTTCCAGAACTGGGCGTTTTGAGATCTGGCGCAAGCAGGGCCGGTCGAAGCCTCTGCGCACCCCCTGGCCTTTGCAGAGGAGCTTTTCAGATGCCAGATCTCCTGGGGTAGAACCCTGAACCCTAGAATAAGAGAACAGTTCGAGCGGGCGGTGCAGCTACTAAGCTATGCGAGCGCGCGATAGGGAACGCCCTTAAAGCTCAAGAAAAGGCGCACTGACACGCACCCTACACCCTAAACCCTAACCCTACACCCACCCCAGCCCCCCCCCCCCCCCCCCCCCCCCGCGCCAGCCTTACGGCAGCCGCAAGGCTTGCTGGCACCTTAAAAGCCTAGCTATCCTACATGGCTACGTCCTGGTTGTTGCCCAAGTTTATGAAGAGTCAACCCTAAACCCTGAACATCTTTTGTTCCATGCGAGGTCTGATTGGCAGGGCTCTCTGAGCTCCTGCATGCCAGGAAGGGATTTACAACCACAAGGTCTTGGAAACATACTCTAAGCCTAGACCTTACAAACCCCAAACCTTCAACCGAAAACCCACTGGGATGTCCTTCAGTTTTCTGAGATCTTCAGCATGGACCGTCCGTGTGTGACAAACCACGAGTTGCTTAGGGGCTTAGGGTTTCTACACTCTCATCCCACCATGCTGTCTTGTCTCTTCTTCTAGGCGCAGGGTTTCACTTCCAGGCTAGTTATGAGTTGGTTGAATTTGCAAGTCACATGACATGTCACGGAAAGTCCGCTGGGTCTTGAGTTAACCACCCATGGCCGCAAGACGCAAGATGCCAGGTCCAAAGGGAAGTTTCGAGAGGCCTTCGCTGTCTCGGCTTTCCTGCGACCAAATCACCTAAACCCGTCATGGCCTCGAGCGCAGCTGTCTGCGAAGCTGCAGAAGCGGAAAAGAGGTAAATGGACTGGAATGTGGACAAAAGAATTGGGCCATCACATCAAGTGGGTGTTTGTAGGACGTCTGAGCCTGTGAGAATCAGACACGAGTCATTTATCAAATTCGTCCGTCGTTGGATCTGCATCTGCTATCCGTTCGGGCTCCTGCCAGACTCGATGTGAAACTGCATCGGATGTGAGAGACCCTGAAAAACTTGACATGATTTCTCATGACACTTGTCAGTCGAGTGGGCTGCAAGGGTGACAAAACCATTGCCAGCTCCACAGGTCTTCAAACGCGCAACTCGCCTGCAACGCCCAGGGCCTCTGCGATTTCAGGTGCCCCAGGTGTGTATGTGTGCGGAAATGCTGCACGGAGCAGCAACTCACACTAGGTGCAGGTTGGCTTCAAATCTATGGCTACGGTTTCCCCAAACTGCCAAGTTCGAGCCCTGCTCAGTTACGGGCCCGCCTCAGCAGCTCAGGATAGACTCAACTGGGACTCAACTGTCTGTCGCCCTTGCTGATATTGATAGTCCACAAGGCTGTTTGAGACAACAGCATCGGATGCTCTGCAGGTTCATACAAGGCCACTTAGCCACTACCGAACACTGCCACTACCAGCAACGAAAGCACTAAACAGCGCTTGTTGGCCATCATACGCAAGGGCGAGAAAATGCCATCCATCGAAGCGTGCAGAGGTCCATGCAAGAGTGTCTGGCGCGCCAAGAAACAACAGTTCGGCTGAACTTCGACACCTAATCCGAACAGCCCGCTTTGTGAATTTCGTATAACCCATATAGCAAGGACATCCTGCACGCCGCTTTGACGTTGAGACGCGACTCTTGCTTGAACCTCCACCTCGAACTCTCAAAGGATGATCCAAAGGTCCCACTTGATTCCTGTAAAGAAAGGAGTCTTCTAAAAAGGACCGGTGACAGCCTGCGTCCTGCAAACATGGCAGCGCCAGAATGCCCAAAGGCTTTCCAGGAACGTCATCCAAGACAGTGCGCATTCTCCAAACGCGCGAGCAGCTACCAAGGCAAAGCACAGCCTGCTTTCCGGACTCTTGCCGCGTGAGTGGGCAAGAATTCTCGGACCTGGCGACATGCAAAAAGGATCAAAAGGCAATGCCGCAGTCGCCCCTCGAGCTTGAAAATATAATAAGCATGTGAGTGATATGATTCGCGACCTGTTGTACCGACATTGTCTCGCCAAACCTTCCACGAGATCTTGTTCGAGGAAGTCCTGTACAAAAGAGCGTGGCTAGAGCGTGCTCTAGCGACAGATAGGAAGCTGCACATGGGCAGATGTGGGCAGGACCTCTCAAAAGTGGCGCCCACGACTGTGCCGAGGGAATCGCTGAGACGCATCCCATCTAAACGAGTCAGAAGAGTCATAACCCCAGAACTTCAACGACACCCTCTTCTCTGCAAGGCCTTGTAGAGACCTCTGGTTGGGCGCTGCTTTAAGGTGAAAGCTCCACCATCACCAGCATGCGAAGACTGGAGTTGAGCTGACTCCAATCTCTGCTCGTCGCAAAAGCAGCATGGGAAATACAGAGGCCTATTTAATTACAATCCGAATTCTATGCCACTACGCTCCGGTATGAATGAATGCTCTGAGCGATGCTCTACTGACGCCCTCTTTCGTTCTACAGTTGGCCGCGCTGCCCGTAGTACTTACAATGTGTTTCAAGCGCATGCTCTTGCCGGATCTCTTCGCTCATCAAGCTGCCGCGCCCTGGGCGGTAGCACGGTTCACATCTCGAAGGCAAGTTCTGGTCTGGGTCGGAATACTTGCTGATGCTTTTCTCTTCTTGGTTCCTTTGAACATATACTATCGTACCTCCCAGAACCCCGGCTTTAACTATTTCTGGCCCCTATATTGTTAGGTCACCTCCATCCTGCACAGCACCAGTGCCCTGAAGAACGTGACAGTGGGGGGCCCAGCCTCACAAGTGGATGACCTTGGTGCATGCGTTGCGGCTCCATCGGCAAAGGTGGCAATTTGGGCAGTTGGTGCCGTCCTTGCAGCCTGCAGACTTGGGAACCGCTGGCTTCTTCTGTGAAAAAGTACGAAGGGTTTTTAGAGCTTAGATGAGCTTAGGGATGTTAAGGGTTCAAGGTTCTACAGGAGCTGCGCCTGGGAACATCCTAAGCTCCACTTGTTCATAGGCCCAAATCCCACGTTAGAACAAGATGGCACCACTCTTTGTTGATGTCTTCATGGCTTGACTCTCCTTTTCTCTTGGGGAGGGCGGGGATGAAACCCCAATCCCTAAAGGTCCCTAAACCCACACCTTGGGGATGGCGTCTCACTGGTGCTGCTGGTGCTTTAGGGTTTAGGGTTTAGGGTTTTAGGGTTTTAGGGTTTAGGGTTTAGGGTTTAGGGTTTAGGGTTTAGGGTTTAGGGTTTAGGGTTTAGGGTTTAGGGTTTAGGGTTTAGGGTTTAGTGGTTAGCGTTTAGGGTTTAGGGTCTTAGGGTTTAGGGTTTAGGGTTTAGGGTTTAGGGTTTAGGGTTTAGGGTTTAGGGTTTAGGGTTTAGGGTTTAGGGTTTAGGGTTTAGGGTTTAGGGTTTAGGGTTTAGGGTTTAGGGTTTAGGGTTTAGGGTTTAGGGTTTAGGGTTTAGGGTTTAGGGTTTAGGGTTTAGGGTTTAGGGTTTAGGGTTTGGCTTCTTGGGTTTTAGGTGTTCAGGTTGTCGAAAAGCATTCTTGTTCTTGGCGTTACGGAAAGCCCTTGGGCGGCACCAAAGGCTCGACTCCCTAAGCACGCTGAGGGGCGCCTGCCCTCAGCCTTTTGCAGGATCAACTGAAGTGCGAATCCTCCTCTCACTAATCCCTAAACCTGGGATGTTCGCCCTCCCCCTAGAATTGCTAGCAGTCCTTAATCAGGATTATAATTGGGGGCACGAAAATCCGGGGGGAACATCCCAACCCAAAAACCCTAAACCCTAAACCGAAAAGCCCAAATAAAACCCAAGCCCCAACCAGGCCCAAAGTGGCCTTTGGCCTTGCCGATGTACTTGCAGGCCTGGGCGCAGCCTCAGTCAACAGGTCTCTAGGGTTTAGGGCTTAAGCGCTTTTAGGGCTTTTTAGGGCTTTTTAGGGCTTTTTAGGGCTTTTTATGGCTTTTAGGGCTCTTGAAGGCTGTTGAAGGCCTTGTAGGGGGGCCTTTCGGATCTTAGGGTTTCAGATGCCAGGGGCTTTGGGGTGGGTTTGTACAACAGATATGCATGCACATATATATATATATATATATATACATATACATATACATATATAAGAAGAAGAATAGTAAAGGCAACAGTATTGGCAATCATGGGTGTGTGTGTATATATATATTTGTACATAGTTTATTGATTTGTACTTGGGGTTTCGGGGCTTTGTGGTTGAACGGGCTTGAGGATCCCGAGGGGCTCCAGGGCTTCAGCATCTTAAGGCTTCGTTTATACGGTTGCAAGGGTTTTGGAGCTCAGGGATCAGGATTGTCGGTTGTTTCTTCTTCTTCTTCTTCTTCTTCTTCTTCTTCTTCTTCTTCTTCTTCTTCTTCTTCTTCTTCTTCTTCTTCTTCTTCTTCTTCTTCTTCTTCTTCTTCTTCTTCTTCTTCTTCTTCTACAGGGCTTCAGGGGCCGGGAGACCCCTCGCGCGCAGGGCGCGCCCAATCCATCCGATCTCGATGTGAGTCGGTTATTTCTCTCTCTCTCTCTCTCTCTCCACACGCTTGGCCCCCCTCTCCTTTCAGCTCTCTCTCTCTCTCTCTCGTTTTTTTGGGGCGGGGGGGGCGGCAAGTAGACCCATGTCAGGTCCTGTTTGAAGCCAGGGCGCTGTACGGATGTCCCAGGGACCCCACGGAGGAAAGGAGGCCAGGTGCCCTGGGAGGCTGTTGCTTTTCTTGCCCTAAACCCCAAACCCCAAACCCCAAACCCCAAACCCCAAACCCCAAACCCCAAACCCCAAACCCTAAACCCTAAACCCTAAACCCTAAACCCTAAACCCTAAACCCAAACCCTGGTTGCATTCGACTGGGCAATCCTGGGAGAATGTTGAGCACGGATCCATCGAGTTCGGATCTAGTTCGGGTCTAGGGAGGCTTTACTTTATAGGTTCCACGGAAGGGCATATGATGTTCTTCAGTAGATGCTCTCTGTGCAGGGTTGCAGCCACTGCTGCAACCCCCCCCCCCCTGAATTCTGCCGAGCATCTGGATCTGCATGCCCGACGTGGAGGGCGAGGTGGAGGGTGGCTCGAGCCCTGGTGGAGGACGAATGTTTCCCAGCGCCGGGGTCACGGAACTTGTGGGGGTTTGGACAGAGTCCTCCTCCTCCTCGTCCTCATCCTTGGACTTGCGCTGCCACTTGCAATAGTGGCAGTTGGGACAGTTCGCACCATCCCGGCATCCGCGCTTGCGCCAGACGTACTTGCAGGCGTTGGCGCAGGTGTAGGGATGTCCCACGGATCCTGCGGAGAAGGGCTGAGCTTCCTGCACCTGCCTTGGATGTGGCGCAGAATTTTTCTCGACCCAGCTCACCACATGTCATGCCCAGTCTGATAACCCTAAACCCTGAACCCTAAACCAATGATACCTTCGTGCCCTGAGAGGCCTTGCCAGCCAAGCGGCACTGTCTCCACGCTTTCAGCCGGCTTGGGGTCCTCCTTCTCTCCTTTCAGGGTGCATATTAGGGCATTTCGAAGTGGGGATATACAAGTAGGGTTCACTGTAGCCGTATCAGCTAACCAACCTTTCCTTCCCCTTTATTCAGGTGCCTGCGTGTCTGTATATATATATATGTACATACATACATATATACAGCCCCATTCATGAGCAGCATGACAGATGCAGGTTTTGATTCTGAAGGCAGGATGCTCGGATTCTGGAGAAGCAACCGAAACCAGACAGCGCACACGCACAAGTGCAGCGAGTATATTGAGATATGGATAGGGCCATCAATGAATAAACTTCTATATGTATGTGCATCTACACACTTCCTCGGCACCTCTGTTAAGGCTATGTAACAGTAGTTGGCGATATAGCCCGACAATGGACCAACATCGAAGTCCTGCAGGCACACGGCTCCAGAAGCACTCATGGCATTTCGTGCATTGCGAGCCATCGCGGCAGCCACCTCCAATCATTCTTCGACACTGACTGTGCGGCGACGCGCGAATGCTTTCAAGGCCCCAGACTCTGTCCCTTCTCCCGTCACCCCTCGATTCGAAAGGAGGCTCTTTTCAACTATACTACAGGCACAAGCATCAAAAAAGAGTGTAGAACAGCTCGTGGCAGCCTTTGCGCTTGACATACTTGCAAGCTTCGGCGCACGAGAAGGGATGACCCACCTTTGTGCATGGGGAATGGCGAATGATGGTTCAGGAGTTCAAGGGTTTTGAGTTTGGAGATGCGTGGAGTGCAGGGCTCAATAGTCGGGAGGGCGCCCTGAACCCCTAGTTAAACCCCTAAGCCCTTCAGCCCCACAACCGGATAAGAGCCGAGAGGCAGAGCCGACGGACACGACATGTCCCGAGGGCCCCGTTGGCGCGGCAGGCGCTTTGGTCTCCTCTCGCGGAGAGTGTGCTCTCGGTTTGAAAGGGGTTTAAGAGTTGATAAAGGGTTTAGTCGGGTTTAGTCTCGAGGGCAAGGCAAGAGTCTCCAACAGCCCTAGAGGACATGGTTGAAGTGCTCCACACACACCTCCGCCTGAAGCCATAGAACAGTGGCGCAACACATGCTGTCGGGATCAAAGGGTTCGAAGGGAGCGCACTGCCTCATTGAGTCGGGTTTCGGGTTTAGGGGAATCCTATGCATGTAGGGCCTGGGGGGTTTGAGGCCCAGCTCAGGAGGCCCACACCCTGCTCTTCTTAGTGGTGGTTAGTAGGGAATGGGGGAATGAGGTACCCTACGCGCCCTGTATAGTCCCTTACAGGGTATATACAGGCCCTAATTCTCTCATTCCCTGCTAGCCAACAGTAAGTCTTTTGCCCGCCACCACGAGAGACCACGACCGGCAGTCCTTCTGGGGCCTCGGCACACTGTGAGGTGCTGGAGGCGGCAGGAGGCCTGCATGGCAACGGCCGGAGGTCCGATGTGGAGGTTTACGATGATGGGGGTACCAGACTGGGGTCCTTGTTACAAGGGGATCCTACTATTTGAGGGTCTATATTAGGGCCCCCCCCTATTTTCGTGAACCCCCACAGAGCCATTCATCAGGCAGACAAAACCCCGCAAATTTAAATTGTGACCCTGTTTTGTTTTCTGAAAGTTGAACATTAGATCGCCGGGCTTTAGGGTTCTGGGCTCATGGCCTCTATCCACCCTTGGCTTCAGGGTTCAGGGCTTACTCTTTAGGGTTTAGGGTTGAGCGGGGTGGATCCTCTTTCATTTTAGAGCAGGCTTGGTCCGGTCTCAGGGTTCCTCCTGGGACACCCAAAGGGCAAAGGACGATTTCTGAGTGATTTTTCGGGTGGGAACCTGGCCACATAAGAAACGCTTCAACTCAGAGCCAAGATCGGCGCCTGCATCCTGGGCAGGAGCCTCGTGAGCAGGGCGCCGGAATGAGTTAACGGTGGGCTGGGCTAGGGCTTCGGGACCTGAGGTAGCCACTAGCCTTTCTAGCCTTCTTCTTCTCAATTTTCTTGCACTGTGTAGGGTCATGAAGACGGCATGTCAGAGAGCGCCATGTGCTTGGGCATGATAGCTGGAGCGCGAAAGCACGCCCACTGTCAGCGACAAGTTGACCGTACCAGCACACCAGCGCCTATGGCAACTCACTGCCTATTGCCCGCACCAGCATAGTAGTTCAGGATACAGCATACGGGCTACTGCGAGGACTGCTGGAGGGATGAGAAGGACCTTGTATACAGGAACCCGGCTTGAAAACAACCCCCCCTTAGATATGAACCACAAAGTCACCCGTCAAGAGCTGTGGACCTAAGGATGTCGGCGCTTCTAGAAATTTCCCAGTCCGAGGTCGCTTTTTGGGGGGGAAGAGGCCCACATCTCCGGGCCTCAGCCCGAGACCCGAAACCTCGAATTACAGGACAGGGCCCGGCAAAAGCAGTAGGTAATCCAAACACCTACACTTCTGGCTCAAAAACCATCCATTTGAATTCTGATCCCAAATTCCTTGGGGCTTCAAGTAACCCCGTACCACGAAGCATGTATAACTTACAGCCTGTTCTGTTTTCAGGACATCTGCGGGGAAGTGCCTTGAGATCGATGGCCAGTCCGGGCGGAGGAAGCTGAACCACTCCTGCGGTGGGGGAAGTTGGTTTCTTCGTTGTAACAGGGTTTAGGGTTTAGGGTTTAGGGTTTAGGGAGGGGACTTCAGGGATGTTGGTGGGATGCTTGAAACTAAGCAAGCCCTATAAGCCCTTGGCTCCGGGGCGAACAGAGTCAGAGTGGCTTCGGCTGTGCATCACAGGTTGCCCAAGGCCCTAGACCCTAAACCCGCAAGGCCAGAGGTCTCAACGCTCAAGGGGTCCTGACTCAAAGAAGGATGGAAACATCGGTTCCTCCACCTGAACGCGGACACATGGTTGGGGGGGAGGGGCGAGAAGTAGGAATGACTGGCCTAAGTGGCCAAACCACGTACACGATCACAGCACGAAACCTAGCAACCATGAAAGCGCAACTGCTGAGAGCTTGCCAGAGCAGACCTGCAATGCGCTGCCTCTCCATGCAGCTCGAAGTAAGCAAGCTGTTTCACCTAAGAACCTTAAGGTTTTTGTGCTCAGCAAGGCATAGAAACGACGCCTTGAAATCTACCCGCCCAGGCCCTGCCTGACCAAAGTTGAAGCCGGTCTTGGCAGGTTGCACGTACAGCGGTGCCGCGGCCAACTGAGCAACATGCAGGCATTTGGAGTAATGTCATCGCTTGTTTTTTACCTGGATGGTGGCCACACGTGGCACACAAATGAAAAGTAAAGAGGAGAGACTCAGGAAGCTGCATGAAGTACGACCGCTTATCGTCCCTGTGCGCCACAGCACAGCTGCAACAGTTTTCCAACGCAAAGCCCTTCGGACCCGACCTTGTCCTCATTCACTTTGGTCTGGCACAGGAGGAGGTTCAGAGCACTTGAGTATGTCGCTTCGGGTTTCGGATTCAAGGTTTTTGGCCCATGAGCACAGACGCCCGACGTGCACACCACGCACCTCTCTCCTGACCGGCGCTGACATGGTACGACACTGTACATATGTGCACCGGCTGCAGTGGCCTGAAGCTTCATGAGCTTCTCGCGCAGATTGGCCATGTCCGCGAAAAGCGCATGATCCGTTGGTGTCTTGGAACCTGGGGACATCCCCACTGGATGCTCTCGATGGAAACAAGGTCAGCTCAGAAGTCGGGCCTTCCCTGGACCAAACCCCTATTCGAAGGCAGGCTATAAGGTGATGCGTTGCCGTGAAACCGCACCCTGGGCCTGGAGCTCCCAAAGCATGCTGAGACCCTTCTGACTCCCCATTAAGCGAGGAGCCATCGGTCTGAGTCATCTCAAGTCCAAAGGGGTACAAACCATCGAGCATCGCAGGCGGGGTTGGAGTCCGGCATCCAGATGGCAGGGTGTACCTTGGCAGATACATATGTCTATATATACACACACACACACCGCATATTATTATGTATATATACACACATATATATATATATATATCCATACACAAGAAGCCTGACCTGTCATGATTGTCATGAACACCCCTTTCCTCTATCCACCCCCCCCCCCTGTCTTTCTCCGCTATGAACTGCGGTGCTTCTGCAAAAGCGATCCGGCCGAGGCGGGCCGTGCAGCGTTAAATTATGTGTAATATGTATCTGTGCAGCAATGGGCACGGCCTGCTCGGAGGGTCTAGGGTTTGGACATTTAGGGTGTGGACCCTGATCTCATGGAGGGCGAGGGAAACGGAAAATCGTCTGCCGAAAGGTGGGGGTGGGGGGGGGCGGGGGGTGGGGGAGGGGGTGTGATCTACATCCCACCTACTTCAATTAAGATTTCAGGGTAACACAAAAAAAAAACTTCCCTGAAAGGAGAGTGCAGAAGGGGTCATACGGGCTGAAGCAATAAGCTAACATTGCAGCCAGACTTAGTAACCTGGCACTTGCAGGCTGCAGGTCCGCCGAGATGCTGGACTCCCCCTTGCATCGCAATGAACGACATGGCACCGACGAAAACGGAGTGTTCGCTTGGGGCAGTTATTTGCCTTGAGCAACGAGAATCTGAGGCAGCGCGCCAACATGCAAACAGGAGGCCAGTGGCACTCCCAGGCCCTGATCAGCCCTGAGCATCCCAGATCATTCTGGAGCACCGCTCCTTCCATAGCCTCTGTGGTTCTAAACGTCCCCGGCCCGGCTCATGATGTCACCAGGAGGGCCAAACTGTTGACAATGGTCTGCAATGCGCTGCACGTCGATGCTCGCAAATCTGCTGGAAGCAGTCTACTGCCGATATCACGTGTCATCAGGGCTGCTTTCAACTGGGAGAGCTTCTACAATATTACGCAAGCGCGCCTTAACCCCCGTTTCGCTCTCAAAAACAGAAGCGCCCTTGCCTGCCGCACCGCATGCCATACCAGCTGCGTCGAGACGTGCGGGAGCTTGTGGATGGCTGGTTCATGGCAGGGTTTAGATGGTGAGGTTTAAGAAGGTTGAGGGTTTAGAGGCTGGGAATATGATTAGGAGTCTGATGGAGTACTGAAGGGGCAGGGTTTATAGTGATACTTGCTCTCCGCGCGAGGGCATTGTCCTCCATCAAGGCAGCTGTGATGTTACCATTCTCAACTTCATGCTTGGACTAAGCTGAGCCAAACTGCGCAAAGTATGCAGAAGTCAAAAAAATGGCAAACCCCGAACTAACCCACCCGATCAAAAAGGCAGGAAGTTCAAGTCCAGGGAAAGGCATAAAGCGTCCTAACTATGGGGACTTGGAACTTGAGGGGGTTTGAGGTGCACGTTCAAAAGGAAGTCCCTTGACTATCGCTGGGATCCACATTCTCTGAGATGCTCCGAGAGCAACTGGCTGGGGACTTGGCTTCCCTGTAACCGGTCATTAAAACTCACCTTTCATCTTGCCGCGGGCAGTCTCTTGAGAGCTCATCACTTTGTGAGGCCACTGTCAGGGAGCTGCCAGCAACGCTTGAGGATAGCCCGCCCGCCTAGCATCGTGCTGAGCCTACATGACGCTGGACCTTTGCATCAAGGGAACCCTAAGCCCAAAAACCCTAAACCCTAAACCCTAACCGCCCCGCTTATGGTGCCAGCCGAAAACTGGCTCGTCGACCAATACCAGCAGCTCGCGCTTTGATGTCTGCCTTGCATCGGAGGACCCTGCTCCATAAACCCTAGAAAGGACAATATCTCGAAGAGGGTGGGTCAAGGACACACAGTAGCTGAGTGCTCTGAAGAACTCTGCGAGAAGACCTCCGAAGCTCCGCAACTCGAAAACGGAACGGTGGAACAAACGCGTGCATCAACCCTACAAAGAGTGACCGGCGAGTCGGGGAAATGAGTCGAAAACAGGATGGGCCGAGTCCGAAACCCAAAAAGCCGAGTAAGAAAGCAAAGTGCACAAGTCAGCACACAAACAGTGCGAGTCAGAAAAACAGCGGGAAAAGAGTAATAAAGCTTGCTCAAACCTTGAAAAACCCTTTGACAGCCCTGAAGCCTTGAATGCACCTTGCAGCCCTACCCTATAGAACCTTGAAGTCGTGTCTGAAGCATGAGCGCATGACATCATAGGTCCGAATCTAAACCCTGAAAGCCTTGCAGGCCAAACGGAAACCCTAAACACCGAACCCTGAACCCAAAAAGCTACCCTAGCACATCCGAGATAGACTTTCAGGACTTCCGGGGGTTTTCTTTTTGGTCCCTAAACCCCAAAGCCCTAAAACCCTAAAACCCTAAAACCCTAAGACCCTATCATCCCTGCAACCCTCAAACCCTAAGACTCTATCACACCCTGAAGTCTCCCCAAGCACTCTCCTGGTCTGATATGGGGGTTTCCGAAAATAGGGGTACCCTTTTTGGGGGGGTCCCTTGAACGGGCTTCTTTGGTATGTTCCCCCTTATACTAACAGTCCTTGACCGGGATTATCATAAGGGCCATAGGGGGGGTACTATAATCCCTACTAAGGGCTGTTTGTACAAGGGGGAGCACCCCAAGGGATTCTAGTCTTTTTTATGCAGAAAAAAAGTACCTTCGCCTCGCCCTGTTGCGCGCCGTCGGTGAACGCCTTCCTGGGGTTAAGGGGTGAAGGGGTCAAGGGGTCCAGGGGTTCAGGGAAGCTTAGGGAAGTCTAGGGGCTTATTTAGGGTTTGGGTTGTTCCTCCTCGTAGTCACAACGGGCGGTTCCTATTCTTGTACCTTTATCCCTTGACGGCTATGGTCGGGCTTGGGGACTGAAATGTGCTGGTGAGCTTGAGGGCGGCTAGGAGGGGGGGGGAGGCTTTGGGGGTAATTTCGGGCTTCGATTCGATTCGCTTTCACTATGCCGCTGCCTCATCCTCAAGGCATCCACCTCGTCGTGGAGCCTCAGGCACGTTTGACTGGTGGTGCTGGCCCGTCACAATCATCACTTCTGCTTTCATCGTGGCAGTGCGCACACACGCACACGCACTCGTGCTCACACTCACAGCCGCAACGCTCAACAATGACAGAAAGCAGAGGATCTCACATCAGGCTACCAGAGTGGCGACTTGAACATGGAACACAAAAAGCGGCGGTGCTGGCACCTACTGCTTTCTTCAGCCTGGCAACACTGATCGATTTCGCCCGAGCGCATTCTCGGACTGGTACTCCAGGAGGCACCTGGCCGAGAACAGGAAAATTTCGAGCTGATTCTAGCCCATAGCCAGCGTAGCTTGCACATTCTTTTCATGGGAAAGTTACGCTCTGAACTTGGGCCGTGTAGGAGGTGGCGATATCAAGTCTGTTGTCGCGCAGCATTGCAAGAAAGGGACCCGGCTCGTCCTCAACCCCAACGTGTGAAGACCCGAATCCGAACACCCGGCGGGGTCGCTCCGCTTGGCGGAAGAACTCCAGGAATTCATCCCACTCAGTGCTCCCGCTGCCATCCTGGCTCACAGAGAGCAGAATCTAGCAGCTAGAAGCGTAAATTACCATGCCCAGCGCTGCCGGAAGACCTGTGTAACTCATCTTAATCATCTCTGCTGAAACGACCTTTTCCTTCCAAAGCCGAAGCGAGGTGTCTGGTCAACCCGGCCGAAAGCCTCCGCTGAGCAGCTTCGTTAGCGACCTCAGGCGCCTCCATGCATGGCCGCGTAGAGAGGGTTGACGGTCCAGACAATGGTCGAGTCGCAGGGTGTTTGTTGGTTTGGGTCGCAGGAGCCCAGGTCTGCCCGTAGCTGAGCTTCATCCACTGCGTCGACGCTCGTTTGAAGCTCCGCGCACTCCATCTTCTTAAGAGCCGTGCGCTTCTTCTGGGCAAACCGCTTCAGGAGCATGCCAACAGTCACGATGATGGGAGCAGCTGTACCCAAGGTCGCGATAGCACCCACAAGGCCGGCGATGCCAATAGCAGTGCTGGCAATAAGGACTTTTCGGTTGAACATGTTGAGCTCAAGCAGGCACAAGGCCTCGGCCTCCCCTCCTCTGTCCTGCCTGGCTCGTGCCTCTTGAAGTTGCCTTTTCAGCGCATTCCTGTCCAGGTGACTGTTCGCCGCGCTCTGTAGAGTGAGGATAACTCCGACAGGTGAGGCTTCAGCGACTGCTTCGGCCACGTCGCCCACGACCGCGCCGACCAGAGATGCACCACTTTTCGCAAGGCCAACCCAGTCGCCAACCTTTGTCGCCCTGTCGCGTGGTGATGTGGTGATGGTCCCTGACTCCACAGCATCGCTGTTGCACTCCACTTCGGGTTCATAAGTGGAATGAAGGTCAGCATTGAGTGGATTCATCACCCAATCGAGATCGTCCGTCGGACGTGGTGAACCACACGTGACCCTCAGCGTGGCTTGGAGCGCGCTGTCCTCCTTGTGCCCGGCCTCAAGCTCATCTTCGAAGTCCGTTTCAGCACGCATCGAACACAACGGCAGCATCTGGCATGAGATGATCAGGTAGATGTAGAAAGTGGATGTCCACGTTTTGGCCATAACTGGATCCGCAGCGGACGATGGGATGTAACAGAAAACAAAGGGCTATTTTATCGCAAACTTTGAGCCGGCTTTGAAAGGCCGTCCCACGTGCACGACTCTTGCCTGCCCCCGGACAATGGTTCAACTCGTTCTCAGCATTCGGGTCTTCTTGGCATGCTCCGCAGACTCTGGCAGCATCTGGCGGTCCTTGTCGGCATCTTTCAAAATCTTCAAGATCTTGTGAATGAGGGCCTCTGGAACAAGTGACAGATAACATGGGCCTCATGGTCGCGACGCGACTACATGGAGGCAGCTAGGATTTAGGCGGGCTGTTCAAGAATCAGGGTTTCCATTTGGATGGCCTTCTTGCTGGACACCCTAGCCAGGGCCAAGTCCCATTTTTGTTGGCTTAAAGCCCGTAAGCCTTCCGCATGGCCCGTCGGTTCGCCGTCTCATCCTCCGTCTCGGGCAGGTGCAGGCCGGCAGTAAACCTTGCATGCTTGTCAAGCGTCAAGCGTTAGCGCGGCAAGACGAGGGCATGCACCTGTTTGCACCCTCATCCCCTTGCATAGCCTATAGATGTTCCAGGCAAATTCGCCTAAGAACCGAAACCCTGAAACCTGGAAGCCACTACCGATAGGCCGTCAAGTTCCCAAGCCCTAAAGTCCGAACCTTGAGCCCTAAAGCCCCGTCGGAGCTGCCTCTTCAAGACGCCAGAGAGCTCCTTGGGGTCAAGAGGGCTTAATGGGCTCTCGGAGATGGCGCGACAACCAGGCTTTAGGCGTTAAAGGGCCTTTAGGGCTCAGGGCTTACCCACCACCAAAAAACCACAATACCCGGCCCATTCCCGTTTATAGAGGGTGAGTGAAAAACCCCGAAATACTTGGGGGGAGCGAGTGCAACATTAAGGTATTCTGCGTCCAAAAGCCCCGCCCACACAGCGCTTGTCATCTCGCAGCTTCTGACGATGGTCTGACGCGGTCAGTTCTCGGAATGAGTGTCCCTTTTCGGGGTATCGGAGGCCGCAACTTTCATGCTGGCCGTCTGATGCTCTTATCTTATGCGTTCGGTTTGCGCCGGCCGGCTCTGTGCGGGTTGTCGGCGCGAAGCAAAATCGACAGAGTCATGCTCTTCCCTGCCAAGCGGGCCAGAGCTGGCGGATGCAATGATTTCTCCCAGGTCATTGACGAAGTCCCCAATATCAAGTGTCTCTTCCTTCCTGCATGTAGGCACAAGACAGCTCAATCCCTCATCCACCAACCCAGCAAAAGGAAAAGGTCGCCCAGCAAAGACGTGCAAGGCTACCACTGGCAGCGGTGGCAATATTTCGTCACTTGCGAGAAGCACCGGGGGTACTTTGCCCCGGACACACGCGGGAGCGGGCCCTTGTGCACCCAGAACTGCCAAGCTTCAAACCTTACTGACTTACAAAGTTTCAAACCTAGCTCCATCTACAGAATTGCCCAGCATTGCGCCGCCCCCACCCCGAGTGTCAAACATCAGTTGAAACCTTTGAGGCTGGACGCCTGCTGAGGCTGGACGCCTAACCCCTAATCCTGCAAACCCTCCTATCAATTGAAAACTGTTAAGGCTAGAGGTCTCCAAGCCCCAAACCCTCTAAACGCCAATGTCATGGAAACCTGAAGCTGGATGCAAAGACACAGGAGGCCTGGCTTTGGCTTCGGACCTCAAAGGCTAGAGTTGACTACATCCCAGAGAGTAGCACAGGCAGAACGAGAGGTACCCTTGTTTGGTTTAAAGGAGCTTACAAGGGAACCTCATAAGATGAGCCAACTCTACTCGGTTGGTCCGACAATGCGTGTTGGAGACGCTTCCGCTCCGTGTTTCGAAGCGCACTGCATTGTGTACAGGGCCCTGGGCTTTGAAATTGGATGCCTCTTTCTCCTTTCATTTGTCCCCACCATAGGTATGTGCGGGTGCGGCAGCAGGGACTGTCGCCACTGCAAGATACTGGACACAAGGCAATGCACGAAGAGCCTCCATCATGCACGACCTCGAGGCACCGGGGTTATTTTGCCCCGGACACACGCCGACTGCGCAGGTGTCGGGATGGGGAGCGGGCCCTTGTGCACCCAGAACTGCCAAGCTTCAAACCTTACTGACTTACAAAGCTTCACACCTAGCTCCATCTACAGAATTGCCCAGCATTGCGCCGCCCCCACCCCTGGACGCCTGCTGAGGCTGGACGCCTTACCTAACCCCTAATCCTGCAAACCCTACTACTGGTATCAATGGAAAATGTTAAGGCTGGACGTCTCTAAGCCCTACACCCTATGAAACCCCAACCAATGTCAGTGGAAACCGATGGTCTGCCGTGTCCTTAAATCCAGAAGCCAAAGGCCCGTTTCCCCTAAAACCCTATTGTACACCCTGAGCCCCAATCCAATGCGAATTTGCGGGGCTTTGAGGATTCTGCAGCTCCCCACTCAACACCCTAAACCCTAAACCCGATGTAGAGGAGGGCCTGGCTTTGGCTTCGGACCTAGCCTACTAGTGGAACCCAGAACTGTGCAGCACAGCAGCTGCCGCATTTATGCACGACAACGAAAGGCTTAAGTATCGCTCCACGGTGCCCTTCAGGATGTCGGCTGGCGCCATCGGGTGGTCCACCGGCTCTGACAAGGGGAATGGGCGCATCCGCTTCTCTTTTGCCGAAGGCTGTGAGTTTGGCATCCTGATTGGTTCATCCTCTGTTGCTTCATTCAGCTCGCCCATCTCCTCATCGGTGAGGAGGAACATTCTATGCCTTTCATCCTTGGTCATTGCATCCAGGAAGGACTTCTCATTCGCGTCGAGAAACCGCGTCTCCCCCACACCTTGCGTCTGGTCTAATATTGCGAGTTGGAGGCGCTCTGTGTGCGACGTGCACTGCATGCGTGCTACCCGAGGCTTACCCTTCAGCCAGAATCCATCATCGTCATCTTCCTCCGGTTCGTCACTGCCGAAGGGATAGAAAGCATGTGGACCTCGCCTGTGCTCACCTCGCTTGGAGTAGATTGAGTAGATGCTGTGGTAGGAGGGAATGTCTCCAAAAGGCTCGCTCTTGGCCTTGGCTCGGGCTCGGCCGGCACGGGCTTGGCCTTTGCCACGGGCCTGATGCTCTGTGTTCTTAGAACGCTTGTTAAAGATGTTGCTTAAGATTTCGCCATCTTAGTTAGACCCACTTACCCAAAAAAGAGAGCTCGTCCTTGGACTGGCGGATGAGCTGGCGGATGAGCTGGCGGATGAGGATGAGCTGGCGGATGAGCTGGCGGATGAGCTGGCGGATGAGCTGGCGGTCGACGGGGCGGGAGGAGTCGGCTGCAGTCCAGGCACCAAGGGCGCATCATGGCTGAACTTCTGCATGGGTTGGCTGAATTTCTGCATGGGTTGCAAGGCACCAAGGACTCGGGACGGGTCTGGAACGGCCACTCGCTGAAGCCCGGCTGGAAGATGCAAGTGTGAAGAAGTCTTGGCTTGCATGGAAACACTGCAAAATGTCCGACATCCCATATCCTAACCTTGCTGTTTCTTAGCTGGGAAGTAGGTACCGTATAGAACCGCCTTTAGGTGTTGGAAAGGGGGATACAAGTGACATAAGGTACCTGATTCCCCGAAATTCCCTATTTGGAGAACACCCCAACAGTGAAAGTTCCAGAACAGTGTGATACCAGCCAGCAAGCGGTAGTTTGTTGCTCCCACATACCGTTGGTCAACCATGCTTCACTTTTTCATACCACGCAGTGTACCCTGAGTATGCTGTCAACACCATGGCATCATGGCAAGCAACTCTTTTCTGATGTTTGCTGTACATGCTATAGCTGCTATGGGTCCTGTGCTGACCAGCTGGAGGTCGGCCTTTTGAAAGCCGTCCTCGTCCCTTGATGGTAGACTTACGAATCATTTAAAATCTCAAGCTACAATCACTCTGACACGGAATTCGGTACGTCCGGGCCCTGCGCATGCGCGGTGGAGGGAGATTGGGATAGGTCTCTTGGTTTTGTTGCAACATCTTGGCCGCACGTGACGAAGTATGGCTCGCTACTCCATGCGTAATATTGGTCAAGGAGGTGAGCCTCGGCTTCATCAGCCGACGATGCGGCAGCATCTATGACCTCACCACGCTCTTGCCAGAATCTGGTAGCGATGAGCTTGCCCCTAATAGCTGCAGTTTTCATTCCCCCAGCAGTGGCCCTTGCAAGGCTTTCAGCCCAACGGACGAGTGCACTTCCCATCTTCACGCTGCCTTCAGCCACCACCTGCTGTGTCTCCTGCATCGAAGGCATCGCGGAGCGGCAGGCTCGACAGGAATCGTGTGCTGCGAACACGATGTGGTCCTGGAAATAAAGCACAACTGCCTGGATGAATCGCGCAGCCTGCTCTCCCGAAAACCCAGGCACCAAGCGCTCAGCCAAAAAGGCTTGTGCCTTTTGGTGTGCAGGTCCCTGGGTGGCAACTTCTTCGGTTGTCCGCGCTTCCTTCAGGTAGATGTCTGCAACAAAAGCCACCATTTCGTCGTAATGGTCTCGCAATGTCTGGAACGAAAGCTTGACCACCGGAAAGAAGATGTCGCGAACTCGCCGTTCTGTAATGGCTGTGACAATCGCGCCATAGTCCAAGCGGAAAGGCGGGTTAGCACCATAAAGCTGAAAACTTGCTGGCCGCTTGCCCAAGACGAAGCCGAAATCGATGTGGAAGTACACACCGCTGTCTGTAATCATGATGTTTCCCGCGTGACGGTCACCCAGATGAACGACGAAGGCCAACACAGTGGAGACAGCTGCAGTGAAGGCCAATATACTGTATGCCCGGCACACCTCTGCGTCATTGCGGCGCTCATTCAGAAATTCGTTGAGCATCCGATGGCGATAGCTGTTGTTTTTAGGCTGGTACAGGTCGTATGGCCTGTCCATCAGCTTCTCTAGTTCAACAGCCGGCACCATCTTGACCATTATCCGATCTTCTGCAGTGGCCACAACTTCGTAGGTAACCTTCACATCGGCGGGCTTCAAGTTCAACTCGCCCATGACCCTCCCAATCTCCGGGTTGTCCAAGATGAGCAGCCAGCTAAACTGCATGAGGTCGGCCACGGCCGCCTCCACGATGACGGAGCTCCCCTGCTTCACAAGCACCTTCACCGTCTCCACCGGGCCTTCGAGCTGAGGGGAGGCCTCGTACTCCTGGACCAGGGAGCCAGACGCGCCACCGGCCTCTTCATGCCCTGCTTGGATTTGCGTCAAACTTGACCAGAAGAACTGCTCGTCCACTGGCGATGGGAATTCCAGGGTGGAGCACTTCGGCTTTCTCTGATCCAAGTGCGCCTTCATGCGTCCGAGCAAACGTTCATCATCTTTGCTGGCGTGCTCCAGTAGGTGGTCTTCCCAAAATTCCCTGACTTCAACAGACAGGGAATGGAGTCCCAAAAGGAGACGCTTCGTGAGGTGCAGCTGGTTTGCTGCCCTGATGCGACTGAAGAGGAAGCGCATCACCTGAAGGTCACAGGCCCCTCCACTGCTTTGATGTTCGTCCAAGTCCCAGGGCTTCACACCTCGACGCAGAGCCATTTCCAGCAGTTGACTCAACTGCAGCTTCAAGATGTCATTGGATACCTGCTCATACCACGACAAAGCCATTGCCATCAGTTCCATGATCTCTGTTTGGTCGAAGTGCCGAGGATCTCGCAACAGCAGCACGACCATCAGGAAGCCAAAACGTGCGCGGGACTCTGCAGGAACCTTCACGCCACCAAGCTCCTTCAGGCAAGAGACGACACTCCTCAGACCCTCTTTGGCCTTCGGCATGAGGCACTCAAGCCCCAGAGCCGTGGTCAACCAGGCCACAAACCGCAGAAGCCAAAGCATGGACTCACGAATCAGCTCTGTCATCTGTGGCTGGAGCAGGTCGTAGTGACACTCCTCCCAATCTGGTTCAACAAGCAGCATTGACCTGACCAACCTCTCTTTGGTCTTTGCGTTTGGGGTGTCTTCTGCGTCGCTTCGCGGACTTCGGTCCCATCCAAACTTACACCGCGTTCGGTGTGTCTGGAGGCACGTCTGGCAGCAGGGCACTGAGCACTCCGGGCACTGCTCCAGTTTGGAACAAGGCTCCAGCAAGAACCGATCATCTATATGAGCGCAAGCATCCAAGCAGCACTTCATGTATGTCTTCGGCAGGCAGTGAGGCACTCTGTACAAATTGTCACCAACCGCCCCTGTGACCGTGTCTGGCAGGTCCGCACTGGGCCTTTCCACGCTCTCAGCCATGGTAACAACTTCAAGCGGATCTTCGGGTCAGGTTGGCTTGAGCAGCAACATGATGGTGGTCTCGAGCGTACCAAAACCACACTGCCTCGACCCCTTAAGCCTGACGCAGGTATCAGTCCAACCTTGTCCGTGAAGATCGCGGCCAAGAACTTCCGATGAGGGATGGCTGAGGGCCTCCCAGCAACCCAGCAACTGACAACATGACAAACTCGAAACGGCATTAAACAGCCAATGAAAAGTTTGATCCAAGCTCGGGTCTGCCTGGTGTTCAGGCATTCTCACAAAGATGCAACCAAAGCTTGCTCCTCTGCTGGGGGCCATACTCTGCTAAACGTTGGAAGACTTTCTGCAAGGTTTCGACGCTGTGCTTGGGCTCCTCAGCTGCAATGTAGGTGGCGGCACCGACGCCACACGTCTCCCTACCAACCAGCTGCAACTGCCCTGTCCTTTGCACCACGTCACGGCAGGCTCCAAGCCTTCTAATCTGAGGCCGCAGCACCCGGCTCAATCTCACTCTCCTTCCTGAGGCAAGACGGCAGCGACGGCGGCAGAATCTCAAAGCAGCAAAACGCCAACCAAAACCACACACAAGAAGAAAACTGTATTAGTAAGTCCTGGTCCTTGCAGCCTGTGTAAGGCCGGCACGGCACGGGTAGAGGGGCACCCGTGAGCTCAAAGCAAAACTTCTTGTGCCTCAGCCAAGCCATCCCAGGGAGCGTGCCACGCGATGACTCTTAAGACCTTCTAGAATAACTCCCGATTGACTCACGCTTCTTTCAGTGATCGCTTGCGACTTCGAGCTGTGGCCGCAGAAAGCCCCCAAAAAAAACGCAATGCCCCAGACGACCTGAAATACCCTCATGGTGTGCTCCGAAGCATGCGCCCGCTCACGCACCCCTGAACGGCTGCTGCCCGGGAGCTGTGGTGTCTTCGGCCTTGCTTTCAGCTGAATTTTGCTAGGGTTCCCCAAACTACGGGGCCAATTGGGCTGCTGCAACAAGAGCGAGAGCCTTGTGTAGTATATTTAGCGCACCCCAAAACAAACCGTCATTTAGCACAAGCTGCCCAAAGTGAAGGGATGCTGGCTTCTTTGCTTCACGAGGCCCCTTAATTATCCCGAACCCTAACCATCCCTGGGTCACTGTCACCGAGCCCTAAACACCCTCAAAGTCCTTAAGCCTTAAACCCTACACCCTAGACCCCAAAACCGTAAACCCTAAAACCTAAACCCTATACCCTAAATCCTAAAGCATCCTACGCTCGGAACCCTAAAAACCCTAAGAACCCTAAAAACCCTAAGAACCTAAGAACCCTAAGAACCCTGAAAAAGAACCCTAAAAACCCTAAGAACCCTAAAAAACCCTAAAAAACCCCCAGATTCCAGGAGCAGTCCCAGTGGCAGGGGCACCTTTGGCCGCTGCTCGGACCCGTAGCGCCTGGCTTTAGGGAGGGTTTCGGGTTTAGGGTTTAGGGTTTAGGGTTTCGGGTTTAGGGTTTAGGGTTTAGGGTTTCGGGTTTAGGGTTTCGGGTTCGTGAAGGTGGTCTGTGCTGGGGGCTGTGCATTCCACCCTGGCGCTGCTCGTCTTTGCGAAGGCACCTTGAGGCGACTTCAGCGGGTGTGAGGCTGTACCGCTTGTCCTTGAGATGTTGTCTCTCTTTCTTCCTCCTCCTCGTTTCTTACAGTGCTTGCACCACTAAAACACCTTCGAGTAGAGGAAAGTGCTTTGGGCGGACGACGCTGGCTCTCGCAGATTGATGGTTCCATGCATGGGCTTTTGCAAACTGCCGGATAAGCCCTTTACTGAAGCAAAAGCTACCCCTTTTTCCTTCGAGACCTGACCAAGCCACCGAGTCTCAAAGGTTTGGTGCCCTGCAAAAGCCACCAAAGCTTTACAAGATAGCAGCTCCTCTCGGTCACCCCTCAGCAGGTTGCATGTATGCATGCCGTATGCATGTCCCCTGGTTCTTGTTTAAGGGATTAGAAAGAGCACCCATTCCCTCGTTTCCTAGTAAGAACCAGCCAGACAGATGATCAAAGGAGCTCGATGACATTGTCCAAGTTCATCAGAGCTGGCAGCCTCGCACGAGCAGGCAGTGCCTGATTAAGGGACTGTTGTTCCCGAGGCTTCATGAGACGAACATAGATGGTTTCGGGTTTAGGGTTTAGGGTTTAGGGTTTAGGGTTTAGGGTTTAGGGGTGCAGCACGCCGTAATGAAGGAAGATACTTGAGAGCGTGGCGAACGAAAACTAGGTCCCTCGGAGAAAAGCCAGCACCGCGTGGCAGAGACTGGGTCGTAAACAAAGTACATCCTATGTGAGCTGGTGTTGTACGCATGAGGACAGCACATGGGCATCACACAAAGTATATCCTATGTGAGCTTGCGTTGCACGCATCAAGACAGCACATGTGGGCAGCAAACAAGCATATCCTAGGTCAGCTTGCGTTGTACGATTCAAACAGCACATGTGTGAGAACAACCGTGTGTCAACATCAAACAAAGTACTGGTTCAAGAAGAGGCCTAAAATCTCCGATACATCGGAGATTAAGGCCCTTGAGTGCTGTTTGTCCCAAAACAAAATTTGCAATCAAGAACTCCCGCAAGCTCCAAAGGAGCTAGCTTTCGTGACAATGGAACAAGATTCTGAAGCAGCTTCGAGAGAACAGACGTGTAGGGGAGGAGATGCGGGCTTTCCTTTCAGTCACGAGCTTAGCCCCAAACCCTAAACCCTAAACCCTAAACTCGGGCCTGGGTTCCGGCGTATGCAGCACCGACTCGTACCTGGGCTGAAGCAGGCTCTGACGCGGGCCCACTATATCGGCGCCTTTCATCTCAAGATGCCGTCTTTTTTTTGGATCCTAAGCCCTAAACCCTAATGAAACCCCGAAAACCCTAAAACCCTAAGGAACCCCTAAACCCTAAACCCGAACGGATCCTGGGTTGAAGCGCTCCCAGAAGTCCCAGGCGCATGGAGCGAGAGGCGGGGCGGAGCGCCCCCCAGCGGCCGCGCCCTGGCTCCGAATTCTTGGGCTTTTAGGGCCCTTAGGGTTTAGGGGTTTTTTTTAGGGGGTTTAGGGCTTGGGGTGGCTTTAGGGCCTTTAGGGTTTAGGGTCGTTTTAAGGGGGTTAGGGCTTAGGGTTTAGGAAGTCTCGGGAGTTTAGGGTTTTGGGGTTTTGGGGGGTGTTAGCAAGGGTGTTGGGAGTTTTGGGGCTCCACCGGTGGGGCTTGATAGGGTTTGAAGGCCTCAGCGTGCCTCGCGGTTGTGCAGCCCATGATTGGCGAGAGGGGTTCGGGGCTCACTTGAAGAGGGTTGAGGGGATTCAGGCTTTACAGGGTCTGCAGGGTTTGTAGGGTTTAGGGGTTCAAGTTCAACAAAACTTGGTTCAAGCTGACCTGCTCGGTGTGCGACTGCCGGGCACTCTTGTCTCTATGGCTCTCCTATGTAGCCCTGAGCCAAGACCCACCTCGTGCAGACACCGGTGGTTTACCTGCGGGAGAAGCTCGTCCGTCCTCGGCTGTTCGTGACAAGCAATCAGAGAGCAGTGCTTGGGAAAACCCACACCATGAGCCCCCAACCCCAAAACTCGAAGTATTCATGAGTTGTCTAAAACAAAGCACTGCACCCTACGTGAAGCATGCTTGCTGCCAGATCTCCATGCAGGAACAGACACGGCTGCAGACACCACAGGGGGAGAAAGAAAGAGAGAGAGGGAGACACAGGATGCAACACATGTATATGTATACATATACATAGATATATATATATATATATATATATATATATATATATGGGCCCATGTATATATATATATATATATGTACATATATGTATATACATGTGATATATGTATCTACACACTATCTATCCACATACACACACACACACTGTGTAAAAGTTTGGCTGGCTGATTAGTTTACTTCTGCTTTATTTGCCTATGCTGCTGGTTTACTTACTTGTTTGTTTCAGTTGAAAAACATCAGGAGATACAATCTATTTGCATCATATGTGCTTAAGCCCAGCGAAGCCTCACACACTTCTCCACAACCCGAAAAAAATGTGGAGCTATTTTGGAACCTGAGTGCGCAATAGTTAGATTGTAGCAGTCTGATTTATATCGAGCTCCGCACTTCACCACGTGTGACTCAATTTCCCGAAGGTATGACACGTCCGCAAAGAGGACCCATTAATCCACAGGGCTGGCGAAGCCCTAATGCTGTCAAAGACTCTCCTTCCGTGGGCTCTGTCCTTGGACAAAATTTCTCCCAACAGCGAATGAACCGGTACAAGGTGAAGCAGCAGAGAAAACATTGTGCCCATAGGAGTCGCATGAGCCTGCTACACACTACATGGATCTACAGGGCTCATAAATTGGGATGTTCCCCCTTATACTAACAGTCCTTAGGGATAATAGTACCCCCGATTATAATCCCAGTTAAGGACTGTTAGTATAGGGGGGATCATCCCAACTCAGAAATGATAGCCGGGATGCTGCAGATCGGTCAAAGGTCGGGTGGGCTTTCTCGCCCACAGCGCATGCGAGACCATGGTACTCTGGTCAAGAGGTCCACCTCCTCAAACCAGGCCTCTAGGGCTTAGGGTTTAGGGTTTTGGGCTGCACCGGCTGGGAAAAAAATCGCTGCATCCTTTTGAGTGAGTTTAAGCGATCGTGCAAGTACCATGTCCACTCCTCATGCTACTCGCCGAAGGAACCCCTCTCAACTTCGGGCGGCTTGGCAGCAACAGGGCACTTGCTACGAAATCTCGCTGCAAGCCTCACGAACCACGGCCTCGCTTTGGAAACAACAGCGACATGAGCGGAACTCCAAGCTTACCATTGAGGGATTTTGGGGTTATGGCCTTCGCAAGAGGTTTCGATACCTTCGGGTTATGGAGTTTGGCGATCAGGGCCTTTTACGGATTCTACGGAGGCTTAGAACAGGGTTTATCCCTAGGCCCTACGTCCGGCTTGCTGCAAAATTCAAATATTCAACTTCGAGCCGAGAAGCGAAGGGCCGGGGTTGAGAGCATGCACGGGTCACAGCTCGCAAGGCCCGTTCCGTGGGATTAGGAGCTACCAACGCGGAACTAAGAGTTGAAGATGGAAATCGGAGCTGTGAGGGCCATACCCGTCGCAGCACACGACTGCGGAAGTTTGGAGACACATAAGTTGAAACCGTATCAAGCCCGAAATCAACCGAACCCTAGAAACCGGAAGAAGGTCTTAAGTCCCAGTCCTGTTGAGGCATACCTAAGACCATCGAACGAACATAGGTCCTTGTCCTGAGATTCGCACTGACCCGTAGTGTCTACTAGGGCTGTATGGGTTCCGCCCCTCAAGCACTCCTCTCGACCTTTTTGCACCTCCGCGGCTTGCGGGATTTCTTCTGGAGGCCTGCAAGCTGCAGAGAGTGAGGGCCAGCCCGACGAGCTCCATTGCGGTGAGGTATACCTCGCCCGACAGGATGACACAGAGTCCGACCCGCACATTATGGAGTATCTTTGGGGGCCCAAGCATATACTATGTAGGTACATATGGGCCCAGAGGTCCCTCAAACTTCTCAAGCCCAACTTCCCTTCAAGAGCCTGGAGAATCCCATGTGCCTTGTTCAGCGGCGTCGCTAATCTTGGCCAGGACATGTACCTGGGAGCACTCCGCAACTTCATCTTTCAAACACCTAAATTGCCCAAACCTCCTGCGAAGCCGGAAGTAAAAAGTGCCCCTGCCCCCAGCAAGTCGCCTCCGTGCCCCGATGCCCCCGAAAAGTCCCACTCCAGGCCACTTGATCAGAAGTCCGGGATGCTGAGTGCCAGCTTGTACTTGCCCACCTGAGAGCAAGGTCTTGGGGTTTAGGGTTTAGGTTTAGGTTTAGGGTTTAGGGTTTAGGGGTTAGGGGTTAGGGTTTTGGGTTTTGGGTTTAGGGCTCGGGCATTTTTTTAAGTAAAGGATCTAAGATGATCGAAGGATTCACGGATCCGGGTGTCGCTCACTGGGAGCCTCGGCTGAGGGGCGAATGTGAGTCGACATGAGTGCATGCGCATCTGTTGCCCATGATGCATTACCGCTGAGGCAGACCCCCTTTGTGCTTTGTATGCTTGATTTCGAAATTCACTGCCATATCTTGGCTCAAGTTGCGAGTGTTTTTGCTTGTGCCTTTGGCGCGGTAGACGTTTGGTAGTTTGCTTTTAGGTAGCTGCCCAGAGGCCTGCCCGTGGCGCGGGCTCGCAGGACTCGACTCTCGAAGCCGCAGCGCTTGGGGGACCGGGAACCCTAAACCCTAAACCCTCAGACCTACACCACGTGCAGGGCAAGGCTACATGATCGTGGGCTACCACAACATTCTGCAGAGAGGGTGGGCCAGGCCACAGAGTGCATCCATGTCCATGCGCCTGATTCATCGTCTCGTAGGCGTGGTTTTTTGCGCCGCGTCCGGCCTTTGCTATGGGATTCGGCATGAAGCAAATTCCTGCGCATTTGCAAGTGACCCAGGATACGCAGACAGGATGGTTCGGACATCTGATTGAGGCATTGGCTTGCTTCTCCTCGACACCTGACGCAAGTATTGCATCACGATGCGGCCCCTGATGGTCTTCGCGACCTTCCATCCATGACTGTGCCCTACATATTCGAAGCATTGTAGCGGCGACATGCCCTCTAGCTAAGCCAGAAGCTGCTTCCGGCTGTTGCAGAACTTCACGCGGAATGGACCTCACAGGCATCTCAAGCGTATGGGTTGTCGCGAAATTGGTGTTTGATCACACATGCACAACAGGCAAGACAACAAGCAAGATATCGGCTGCTGCACAAGGAAGTTGGCGAGCTTTTGGCTGAAGTGGTTGCAGTTATTGTACCTCTGAAGATGCGGGGAACAACCGGAGCGAACTCCATGCAATCGCTCAGCCGCCATATTGACATTGACACCTGGGGTTGGCACTGTAGGTCGTAAGGCCCCATCTCTGCTGACATCCTGTGCAGTTATGATTGACGAACAACAACCACCAATCATTGGGCAACACACATTCATCAGGAACCATCCTACGGATAGTCAGCGGGAGAGTCCTGTCCAGAAAAACCTTCGTTTCGCTGCGAGACTTCTGCGTGTGGCCGAGAAACCTGCGGTTACGATCGTCATAATCAAAATGGGTGTGATCTCTACGTCGATCGTCAGCTGTGCCTCGTCTTAATCGGTTTTCCGTAGCCGCTCAACCTGGTGGTCACAATTGAGTCGCGAGGATGCTTTGTGCAAACATAGCAACGACTGAGTCAGCCGCCCTATGAAGGAGCATTGCACTCCATCTCCGGAGAGATAGTACTCGGAACCTTTGAGCTTGCAGGCTCAAAAAAGGGCTGCGCTTGAGAGCCTGAGGTACCAGCCATTTCCTGGCAAGCTACTTCTTGGGGCCCATGTGACGGCAATAGCACTGTGCCATATTGCCTGCCAGCGTGGGGATCAGTGATTTGCACTTCGCACCATCACCTAGTACGCCAAAACTCTTGAAAGCAGGCACGGATGTCCTTGCACTCACTCTTTGCGCCTCAAAGTGCTCCCCCAAGAGCAGCCAGGACCAGCGTCTGGCCGCACCGTCTGACGTGTCGTACAGGCACAGATGTACCTGAACCCGGTAGCTTGGCACATATGTTCCACCAGTCTTTCGCCAAGCCTGCCTCATGGCCCGAGCTGGCCACGCAGCTTTCAGACCTCTGCATTTACCCTATTAATTAGTAGGAAAACGCAGTGCTGGGCAATAGGACCTGCGCCCTGCAACTCGCTCGGTCGTGGAGACTGGCTCCTGGAAACCGGCCGCGCAAAGAGGCAAGCAGGCAAACCATGGTTTGATGCCCGTTTCCTGAGTGGCCTTCACGCCGGATGTGTGGATAGCGGAAGGTTCGTCCTGAAGGGGCGTCCGCACGCACAGAGATGGACGATGGTGACTAATGTTTGACCAACTGGACGCTGCGAGGCGCAACGCGGAGCACCGGTTTGTTTGGAAGGCTCCGGTCTGGGCCGAGGCTTCTGATGTCCTATCTTGGAGTCTGGGGGGGATCATACTTTGGAAGTTACCGAAATCTACAGTAACACACACACACACACACACACACACACACACACGGAGGGTTGGCTGCCTCGTTGCTTTGGACTTCTGGAAGATTGCACACATCCAAGAAGTCGTCGACGCTCGGCAGCTCCTCGTTGTCCTGTTCGTGAAGTGAATGCCCTCAGCACCCGACCCGGAATCCGGTCGGTTAAAGCAGTCTTGCAACTTTCATTGCCTGAACATGCCCGAGAGCTGGAACTGCTGCACAAAAAGACAAAGACGGACAGAAAAACAGATAGTTTCAGGATTGTCGCTGGTGCCGCTGCAGGCTATCTCGGACTGGGGGGAAGACAGCCGAAACACAACTGGTCAGACAGTGAGTGCCAGATCACCTAGGTTCCCAGGCGCACTGCAAAAACTCGTCCAAGGTCTGCAGCGGCTCCTTGCAGAAGGACTGCGATGCTTCACAAAAAAACTGCGAATCACCAGGCATCTTGCAAGTCAGCGGCTAGGCCCCGCACCAGCTGCAGAAAATCTTGCAGCTGCTGCAGTGGCTTGGGCGCCTACATGTCACGTGCAAGGATGGGATGAACGACGACTCCTCAGCCTTATCAGTCTTCAACGCACCTCGGCCTGCTGAAGCGCGTGCGCCCTGCCTCGGATATAGCTACGCAAGATCCCGAAATAAAATCTGCAGCCTGGCCCATCCACACAGGCAGACCCTTCCAAGGCAGCCACCCAACAGCATGGGTTTCGACGCTGGCTCGTGAGCGCAGCTCGACAGCAACATCATGGCGCGCAATGAACGTGAAGCAACACATTGTCACTTCTGATTCTGCATGCGAATGGGAAAGCAACGCCTTGAAAGCTGAGGTTCACGTGACGTTGCTAATATTGCACACCCACTTCAGGGGGTAGTTATCGGGTAGTTTGTGCTGACTGCGGCATGCTTGTAAAAGTCTTGTACATTCGCACGCTGACGGGGCCGCTGTTGAGGCTATCGTGTCGCAGTTGTGTCCATGTGCTCTACAGAAGAAGCAAATTGCAGGCTAGGCACAGGTTTCAGTGCCTTTTCTGCTTGCTCCTTCGGGAGATTGTGATTATGGCGATTGAGACCGTCGGATTGAAACTCTCAGCGCCCACGAACAAAGCAACGATGCTCTTCTTGACTGGCGTAACGTCAACATTATTAGGAAGAACTGCTTGTGACATAGACAGCACTCACTCTATATACATGCTGGTGCACTCACAAGCAAGCCAGCTCCGGCGGATGGGTACGTTTAACAGGTCTGCCGGGCGCCAGCACCCACTTCTCCTGACGCTGCAGTCTACACACTGACGCCCGCTGGAAAACGCGCGTCCGACATCAAAACGCCCCAACATGCTACTGCCAAACTGGCGCCTATCAACGCTCGTGCACGAAATCGAGATGTCACAAAGTGCCACCCAACCCTGACGCGGCATTCTACACGCTTGCCCAAGATCCTGACGCTCCGAGCAACAGGTGTGCCCGAAATCACGGAACCACGAAACGCCGCCCACCTCCCTGACGCTGCGCGCTACCTGCTTGCCCAAGATCAATTCTCCGACCAGCATTCGTGCCCGAGATCACAATGCCACAAAACGCCACGCACTTCCCCGAGGCTACATTCTACACGCTTTCCCAAGATCAATATCATGTTCCAATTGGAAGCACGCATGCAAACACTGGAAGCTGCTATCATTCTGAGACTCTAGGAAGTATGGAGTTGCAAACTTATATGATATGAAACCTTTCGGAATCCATCAGTGTTTTTGCGGATTGCGGGTCTGTCCAATCGCCTCCAATCCCCAACCCCTCCCCCCTGTTTGACGAAAACCGCGCAAGTCCCGATTCTGGACCCGTTTGCAAAGCCCGCTGTTCGATCAACATCGATGTTCTTAGAAGCAAGCAGCCCAGTGTAAACCGAAGAGCGAGCCTGGGCGATTGTTTTAGAAACACGCGCGCGCTCTCTCACTGGCAGCAGCAACGGTCTGTGCACCTCAACTCATTCGCCGACTGCCGCACCGGCAGCGGTACAATGTACTTGTAAGCAACATGTCAAGTCCCGGACCGAGGCGGGGTCAAGAAGGACTCCAGGGTTTCGTAAGGACCCTGGCAAGCCTGGTCGCAACACAACGCAACGCAAAGGAAACACCATCAAACCCGTGAGAACCCGTGAGAAGAAGCTAGTCTCAGATGGACGGCGGCGACTGACAACCCACGTTTTGGAGCCCACGCACTAGCACATACGTGAAAACTCGCGGGTGACTGACTGCAGAGATCCTTGATCAAGGCCTTCCCACAAAACCACCCCTCGCAATGGCAGCTTCATGGCACACCAAACACTGGTCACAGACTTGGTGACGCCGCGTGACAGCAACATCTGAGCCAGCGGCAAAACCTCTAATGCCAGCCTTCCAACATTTATGTAGGGTTATCGCTTTTGGGCGGTCACCATATCGTTCTCCGATGTTTCCAGGCATCGTAGTGATGTAAATGACTTGTAGTACAAGCTTAGTACTGGAACCGATGTTTCCGTGACCCAGCTGGATTTTAATCAATTTGTAGTACAAGCTTAGTACTGGAACCGATGTTTCCGTGAGCCGGCTTAATTTTCATTGATTTGTAGTACAAGCTTAGTACTGGAACGGACGTTTCCGTGAGCCGGCTGGATTTCCATTGATGTGTACTACAAGCTTAGTACTGGAACGGACGTTTACGTCTGCCGGCTGGTTTTTCATTGATTTGTAGTACAAGCTTAGTACTGGAACCGATGTTCCGTGAGCTGGCTGGTTTTTCATTGATTTGTAGTACAAGCTTAGTACTGGAACCGATGTTTCCGTGCGCCGGCTGGATTTTCATTGAGTTGTAGTACTAGCTTAGTACTGCAACCGTTTTTTCCGTGAGCCGGCTGGATTTTCATTGATTTGTAGTACAAGCTTAGTACTGGAACGGACGTTTCCGTGAGCCGGCTGGTTTTCATTGATTTGTAGTACAAGCTTAGTACTGGAACCGATGTTTCCGTGAGCTGGCTGGTTTTTCATTGATTTGTAGTACAAGCTTAGTACTGGAACCGATGTTTCCGTGAGCCGGCTGGATTTTCATTGATTTGTAGTACTAGCTTAGTACTGGAACCGATGTTTCTGTGAGCAGGCTAGATTTTCAGTACTGGAGCCGATGTTTCCGTGAGCCGGCTGGATTTTCTTTGATTTGTAGTACAAGCTTAGTACTGGAACCGGCTTTGAAAAACATTGACGCTTTTAACGTTATCGCTTTTGGGCGGTCACCATATCGTTCTCCGATAAAAACGACCACAGCCCAATCCGAAATATGCCCGCAAGTAAAACTGCTTGACGGAGAGAAACGCCTGTGGCTCATCTCATTCCGCGGGAGGGGCCTCGACGACGTCTCCATCGAATGGACCTGGAACTTGAACCCACGAAGATCACCGCGTCAACTTAACACGCGCTTGCGTCAAAGTTCGCTGTTCAGCCTTTCACGGGTTTAGATGAGGCGCCCAGTATCGTTTTCGGGGCTTTGCAAAAACTCGCAGTTTCAGGGCATTGCAAACATACTTCGCAGTTATACGATGAAAACCGAAAAGACCGCGCGCACGACAAAAGCCCAACCCTTCGGGTTTTTTGCTCCCGACAGGGGACGGGGCCAACATGGTGACTTGTCGCAGTAATGCTACTAGTGTGAGGTATGCAGAGTATTGCAGAGTAGCTTCGCAAGCCTCGTGACATGGCTATGGCCCGATTGTGGAGGGCCGTCAAACACCTTGTTCCCACCCCACGCCGTATCAGGCGTCAAAACCACGCGAGCCATTCCTTTTAGGGTCTAGGCATAAACTCACCTCAAGTGCCTGCTTGCAACATCCTCCTTCCAGAGTTGGAGGAAGTTCTGCCACAAAGCTTTCATGGTCCTGTGGGGGTGCCCCAAAATTTGGAAGATACTCTGACTCTGACCCCATGAGTTTGCAGATTTTGGGGTTTCAGGCATCAGGCAGGTCCCTCCTACAGACCCGGGACAAGTTCCAGATGCCAGGCGGGATTCAGAGACGTCCCAAAAAGCTTAAGCGCCGCGCTGGTCTAGGGCTCGGCGCATGCATCACAAGCGTCAGCGGCCCCCATGTCCCGACCCGGGCACGTGCGTCACAACTCCTGAAACCTGGACGCCTCAAACCCTGAGCCTAAGCTCCTCAACCCTTAAATCCCTCAACCCTTAACCTTAGCACTTGAAAGCTTTTTGGTTTTTGCCTTGTTTTTCTGGCCTTGGCATTTTGTCCATGTGAGTTGAGCTTACACGACAATCAAAGGGCCTCTCTGGGCAGTTTTGGATGCTTTGTCCTGTTTTTTGGCACTGGCTGTTTCCGCATATGCTTTTCTTGCGCTTTCTACCAAACTCCAGGGTTTCAGATGGCACGGAGCCGAAAAACATGAAAAGGGCTCATCTCGGAAGCATGTTCAAATTTTGGCTGTTTTTTGCGTGTTGTATATGTACTTTGAGCTTAAACACGACCACAAAAAAAGGCCGTTCTTGGCAACTTCGGATGCCTTGTTCTGTTTGTTAGCGTTGGCTGTTTCTGTGTGTAATTCACTTGCGACGCTTCGTCCTGCATTTTTGGCGCCGGCTGTTTGTGTATATGATTTACTTGCGATGTCTACCAAAATCCAAGGTTTGAGATGGCACGGATCCTTAAACACATAAGCCGGGCCCATCTGGGCAGCATGTTCGGATTTTGGCTTGGCCTTTTTCCGGCCTTGGCTGTTTTGAGCTTAAACACGACAAAAAGGCCTCTCTCGGCAGCTTGGGATGCTTTGTGCTGTTTTTTTTGCATTGGCTGTTTCTGTATATGTGATTTACTTGCTACTTCTACCAAAACCTAGGGGCACGGAGCCGTAAACGCATAAGCTCCCCAACGCAGTCCCGAAACTCACTGCTCCCCACTCAGTCCCGATACCCTGCACCCCTAAGTTCGCCAGCTCAGTCCCGAAACTCACTGCTCCCCCCCCGCGCTGACTCTGAGGCGAAATTAAGACTAAGAAGCAGACCATCTGCTCCCTCGCCCAGCTGTGCCTGACAGCAGCGCACGTGACGAAGGAGAAGTGCAGAACAAGTTGAAACAAAGAGTTGCCGTCAATGTCGGCTCCTCATCCACGTTTTCGCCCGTCCCGGACTCTGCCTGCGACAAGCACGAGTGGCCAACAAGAATCTAGAAGGGCAGGGTCAAGAGAATAAGCATACCATCTGATCTTGTCCGCTTCGGCCTCAGACAGAATGACATGAGGACTTGTCACACATGTCAAGGTCAGTCGCTACAAGGCAAAGAGCCCGGCTCCCATTCATACTGTCTTGTGGCCCTCCTCGGCGAATCTCCTCCGTTTCGCAAGCCCTAAGGTGAAATTTGAAAGCCAAACAATCTGCCCTCGCCCAGCTGAGCCTGACAGAGGTGCACGCGACGAAGGAGAAGTGGAGAACAAGCTGAAACAAAGAATTGCCGCGCACTGCAGCTCCTCATCCACGAGTTCTTCCGTCTCTGAGTCTGCCTGCGACAAGCCCGTGTGGCCAGCAAAAATCAAGAAAAAAAGAGCAGCACGGTCGAGGGAATGAACATACCGTCTGATTTTGTCCGCGTCGGCCTCAGACAGAATGACATGAAGGCTTGTCACACAGGCCCAGGCAAATCGCTGCAAGGCAAAGAGCCCGGCTCTCATTTCCTCGGCGAATTTCCTCCGTTTCACAAGCCCTCCAGCCACCAATGTGAAATA